TTTTGGCGGTCCAGTTACGAGATAGACGAAATTTCGCCAAGCAAGATTCTCAGTGCGAGAGATGCCAAGAAATATGATTATGAGATATTGAGTAAATTGTTGTAAATTTATTTGGATGACTGGGTTGAGTAAACGGTCACTCGAACTCGCGATGTAGCATGATTCATTGTTAAACGATGTGCAATACAATTATCCCAGGTCAGAGTCATAGAGGTTGTTGAGATTAAACAAAATACAATTCTAGATATCGAAACCTGCGATCCTCTCACCTGCGTTTCCTACCTTCCTTCTTTCCTCTCTCAATAACCAAATACATAACTCTTCCTATAACACCTTTCCTTATAAACGCTTTCGATTTCTCTGCGATCTCTCTAATTTCCTCCAACTTATCCATGACACTATTCGCATGTTTAGTTACCAACAACATTAATATCTGGCATAGTTTGGGATGCTTCGGTAATCTTTCAATATTCGAGCTTAGATAGAATAATAGTTTAGAGAAAATAGATTGACTTTGATTTGAAGCTGATGTGTGGGAAGGTTCGATCTGAAAGTTTTGGTTGATTAAAGTAAATACGATCTCAATCATCGAGTCGTCCCACTGGGTTAAGTGTTGTGGGAGCGGCGATGATGATGATTGCAAAGTTAATGGAAATGGGAGAAAGATTGCGGATGCGGATGTACGAGAATCTGAGAATAATTCGCTGAAACATAATTTTTTTTTAGAACCTCAAGTATAAAAAAATTTGAATATCACCAATACCTACGTTAGTAATGCAACAATAGAATCGTCATCTAATCCACCATCAATTGTTCTAGTGATAACCTCCAGCTGAGGGATCCCTTTATTAAAGAAAAAGAATCCATTATATAGGAATGTCAGAGTGTACTGAAGAATAAGTGCCTCTACTGAATTGAATACCTATTTTGGAAGATTCCATGATTAAAGGTAACAACAGTCCGTATACAATCGATTTGCTCTTTGCTTTTGCAGTATTTATGATTGTCGACAGAAAAT